GGAAAGCGTCAGAAACAGGCAAAAGCATGGCAGCTGTATGGCTGAGGTGAAACTGCACTTGGAAAGGAAACGGAACGGTGGAAGAGCTGCTGAAGGTGGAAACAAGAGATGACAGCTCAGATTACAGGGCAAGGGCTTTATGAGAAGCAGGACAGAGTAACTGGCTAGGACAGATTGTGATTTTTGTTCCTGTAGATAATGTGAGTGACAGCACAAGGGCAAACTACCACTCACTGTCAGCAAAGGTCTTGTTTTCATGGTTTCTTTAGTGGCAAATGGGAGAAAAAGTTTCTGCCCCAAGAATTTACCTGTCTGTTTCAAGAAAATGCATGGCAAGTGTTGGAATGAGGGGAAGATTAATTAGAGGCTGGAGGTCCTGGAGAAAAGATCGCTTGGTGGTAGAGCTGACAGTGTGAACAAGGTGACTGCTTGTCATTTCTGGGAAACTGCTGCTCCAAAGTTGCTGTAAATTGAAGACTTGCAGCCTCTTGGGTTAATCTCAGAGGATGCTGGTACCTTAGCTGATCCCCTCTTGCCAATCTGGAGGCTCAAATTTGTGTTCTTTAATATTTTTTTTTTGCCCATGCTCTGCCAACAGCCATTCTGGCTACTGAGGGTCTCTCTTGAGCTCTCACAGGCTCAACAGTGGCAATGCACCTCTGTTCCAACTAAACCCAGGGCAGCTATTGCAAGGCTCAGAGAAGCCCTACAGTGATATCAGTCTTATCTCTGGGCCATCACCCTTGGTCATGCTCTTCTTTCCAATTCCTGCATCTTAGGTGTGAAGAAGCTCAGGCATAGCTGTGCAAATCAGTAGAACGTGGAACTGGAACTGCTTTCAGCAGTGCTAGCTCTGTTGCAGACTGCAGCTTGATCATCTGGAAAAGAAATTGCACAAATGTCTTTGTTCTAGAAAGAGAATGAGAATGAGTTTGGTGGATAGATGGAAGAGCTAGATCCTTCCCAGACTCAACAGTTGTCAGCTTGCTTTCTCAGCTGCTTGGGTCATGTGTATGCAACTGCACTCGCACAATCTTTGCCTGCCCAACTTCAAATGATTTTTCTGGCTAGACACTACACAGCTCCTCAGAGCTGCCCATGATCTGACTCTGCATGGACTCATGCAGAGTAATAAAGTCATAACAGAAGGAGCAAGAAAGTCTGATGTATAAGAGAGTGAATATAGCAAAAAGAGATAAATATAGTATCCTTTGTGTACTGTCGAGTTTAGCATGTTTTAAGCATGACCAGAGCTCAGTCTGGCTTTTTATTATGCCTCCATCATGGAAACAAACAGACATAAGAGTTAAATCATATAAGCAAGACAAGCATATATGGTAAGTTCCCTGAGTATTTCCCCTGACATTCAACCATTTTCAGTTCAAGAATCTGCTCTGATACTGGTCCAGTCAGGTCTCTGCATGAGTAAACAAAATGAGAAGGACTCATCTTCTTACGTTCTCTAGGAGCCTCATTTCACCAGCACTGCAAAAAGGAATTTCATGGACCTGGCAACAATCTGGAGCAATGCAGATTTGTGTGAAACTCACACAGATTTTACTTCTGAAGAGGATGTCTTTCACATAGGATATGTTGAGAACAGATTTTGTGGAGCAGAAGAGGGAAGGATAAACTTGGGAGGAGTGGAAAAGGATTAGGCCACTACTGGAATCCATCTGAAATTCTCATAGAGATATTTCTGAGTTGAAGGGAGAGAAGTTCACAAAGAGAGGAGTTCGCACCAAATTGCTATCTTCCCCACATATAGAGGATTTGGCTTACGGAATAATTGCTTCCAGCTGGATGCTTGCAGTTGAACACAGTTCTTCGTGAAGGATTTTCCACTTTTCTCTGGCCTTTAATTGCAAAGATTCAGCTCTCTTAACCAGAATGAATCTCAAGGGAGGAGTATTTCTGGAAGGGGGTACACACAGCTGAACGTAGGAATTCCAAACCTAATTTAACTCAGGCAGACCAAATTTGTTTCAAGTGTTAAGCATCCTGCAAGATGATATGAAGTGATGGACTCTTGCTTAATCTTGGCATTCTCTGTTGCAAATGAATCACTGTTACTTCCGCCTCCCTGCCCACCCCTCTGCTTGGTTCTTTTTTAATTTTACAGCTTCCTGAGCTTGACACTGGGAAATCAATAAGTAATTTAGAGCCCCGCAAATACAGAGGAAAACAAGTTATTTTGTAGTTTCATAAATATTTGGAAACCAAAATTATCTAAGAAAACAGGTGCTCAGTTGACTCAGCAACCCATCCATCAGCATCACACAGCTAATTGCATAAGATCATAAACATTTATAATTAGAAGGCAAACAAACAAGAATTTTATAAACAGCCCTCTTGAATCAGCCTGCGCATTAAATATTTGTGATAAGGTAATTAAGAATAGATTTACAGTCCTGGCTCAGTGTTTAATACTTTGGAGAATGGATTTGATTCTATGGAGGATGTTCTACAGCCAAGGAGAAAATATTTGATTTTGGTTCTTTTATCCAAGGCTTAAAGTGGTCTCAGAGAAATATTGGCTCTGTCATTGATCAGAGTGGAATTTCATTCATTACACATCAGACAGCTCATTTAAATATGTGTCTAATGTCCCTTGTCATGGACCAATCCACTTTAGCCCTGCTTCAAAGCTGTCTCCTTGGATGGAGCTGCAGGCTTTCCCTAAGTCCTGCTTTTTATGGTTATGCTTTGATCAGAAGATGTCAGAATTCTCAACCATGTTCCAAACTAGACAGGAAAAAACCACTTTTTTTTGTTTTGTTTTGTTATGACATCATATTGTTTCATTTTGAAAAGCTGGCATCATTACAGGATTATACCTGTGCAATCTCAGTGGTTTATGAGAACCAGAATAAGGATCTCACCCATATTTTTAGCCCATTTTACTTCCCATCTATTTTCCATGTCCCAAAATAGCTAGATTTGAATACTTAAATTAACTCATGTAATTACTTCTACAGCCAGTAAACAAGCTCAGCACTACATTAAGATGAATGTGAGTCCCCCTGAAGCTAATTTGTGATCAAGTCAGTAGGGCTTCTAGTTGTGTTTAGAATCAGAAGGGCTAGAAACTCAGACAGCAGTAAACCTAGAATTTAAAGTTTGTAAAGTCAGATGCATGCCCTGAGAAATTAGATATCTCCACACCATTGGTGGGTCAAAGGGAGGTCAGCCCTAAGGGTAGGATGACATTCTGATATGTTGGGTTTTTTTGTATGGAACTGGTTTACTTAGTAGTTGGCTGTCATCAGAAGCAGTCCAGGAAAGCTGGATGGAGGGTAATGCCCCAACATTCAATTCATCAGAGATAACAGTAAACCACTTACTGTATCCTGTTGTGAACATCGTCACCCCTGAGTGAACAAGGCAGCCTCTTCATTTTGATATGGTTTTGCTTCTTACATCTTGTAGGTCTTTTGTTCTTTGCTCTCGTAATTGAACTCCTGGAACAGGTAGGCAAAAGAACTGCTCTTAATACAAACATTTCTGGTAATGTTGATGGTGACCAAGAATAGTGAAGCCATCACTGTTGTGAAGAATGAAGTTATGCATCTGCTAACTCAACTAGTACGTGCCCTACCTGCTGGTAAAAAGTGCCACAGTTACACAAGGGCACCTTCCTATCAGACAGATTGCTGCAAATCAAGGACACAGAGACCTTCTCACATTGCATAAATCCCAATCTCCAGTAAAGCTTATTAACTGTATTACAGTGCATCATCTAAGCCAGTCTACATGGGAAGCTTCGTTCAGCCTCAGTGGGTAAGAACAACACCGTTGTAGGCACTACTGCTTGCATTGCATTCAAAGGGTATAGTCAAAGCTTGGTCACTTGAATGGTATCAATGCTTAATAGTCACATAATGTCATCTGCCTCTGTCAGCCTAACCACTTCTGGCATTATCTCATCCTTCCAGCCCTCTAGTTGTGGGGAGGATGGCAGAGCTCTGGGAGATGAGCTAACTCCTAGTGGAAGGGTCTGAGCAGCTCACTCTCTTTCAAACGCAGAGAAATCAAGTGTCCTAAAGCCCACTTGCCATCCCCCAGATATCAGTTCTATCAGGTGCATACAGGTGGGTAACAGGACATATGCATTCCCTGCATACTCACAGCAGAAACTACGTAAGCTCTTTTTTTCCAAGTGTGTTGTTTTCTCCCCTTGGAAGTGATGAGGTCTGACAAGGTACCTGCTTTGCCAGTGAGCAAACATTTGCCGAGAAGGACAAACCATTCACAGGTATAGCCAGCTCCTTCTTATTTTTGACTGCTGTCCCTGGCCTCTGTGCGCATATCTGCTCCGCTGCAGTGTGTGTGGGGAGATGTGCTCTGAGTTTGCAGTGACGTTGGTGCAGTAGACGTCACCAGCACGTCAGCTGCAGTTACTTACCCTCCAAACACACAGTGAATCATGCCTATGCAGCATGCAAAACCAGCTCGGTGATAGATAAACCTCAGGCATTTATTGGTAAACAGATACTGTTCTGCTGTAAGAGCATAACTCACTCCGCTGCATTTAAGACCTGTTTATTGATTGCTGAGATGAAGTTGTAATCCTTTTAATTCAGGGGGAAAGGGATCCAGCAGAGCAGAAGCAGAAGGAGAAATGGTTTCAAACTGAAAGAGAGGAGATTTAGACTGCATATGAGAGAAAAAATTTTTGCAATAAGGGAGGTGAAGCACTGGCACAGGTTGCCCAGAGATGTGGTGGAAGCCCCATCCCTGCAGACACTCAAGGTCAGGATGGAGGGGCTCTGAGCACTGGTGGGGCTGTAGGCGTGCCTGTTCACTGCAGGGGGTTGGACCAGATGGCCTGTAAGGGTCCCTTCCATGGACTCTGTGATCCCCTGATATATCACTGAATAAGCTGAGGGAGAGCTGAGCAGAACAGCCAGCTGGAGGGCGCGATGCTGGGGTGATGAAGATGATGGTTCTTCTAAAGTTTATCTCTACTTTATGTTTAATTCTTTCCCCCTTCCCTCCAGGTCTAATAATACACGAAGGGCCCTCAGTTTACCGGATTTTTAAACGGTGGCAGGCGGTCAATCAGCAGTGGAAAGTGCTGAACTATGACAAAACAAAGGACATGGAGGAACAAAAAACAGGGACCAGGACAAATCAGCGTCCCTCCTCCCAAACCACCCACTCGTCCTCCACTGGTGGTACAGCCACTAACTCCGCTCCGGCCGACAGCGGGGCCCGGGCCGCCGGCCATGCCACAGGCACCCTCTCTGACCACCACTGTGCTTACACCATCCTGCATATACTCAGCCACCTGAGGCCTCACGAACAGAGGAGTCAGTCTAGTAGTAACAGAGAGCTCGTCATGAGGGTCACGACGGTCTGAGCCGAGGAATTCAGGAGGCCTTAACGCAGAGCGGAGGAGACGCAGAACTCGTAACGCAGAGGAGCATGGTGTGCCTTTTTCTTTCTCTTCCCTTTTATTCTTTTCTTTTCTTCTTCTTCTGTTCCTTCTTTTCTTTTTTTTTCGGTAACTGCACAAGATATAAGAGGCGGCACCTGGCCAGCTGAGGAGAAAGCAGGTGGAGGGAGAGCTGCACACTCATGCTAAAGAGGTTAATGTTTTCCAGCCAGTTTAAAAAAAAAAAAAGGGAAAAAAACAAAACAAAACAAAACAAAAACAACCACACAAATCACAAAAAGAAAAAAAAAAAACAACAAAACAAGTGCAATACAGACTAAAAACTGAGTAGGCAGAGTTCTGGGGAAGCAGAGGAACAGACGGTTTAGCATGTCTTACAAATCCTATTACCTGGAATAGGTGATGCTCTGTACACACCCACCCTACACACACACACGCACGCAAGTGTGAGATTTATATAAACCAGGAAGGGAATTAAATATTTGGAGTATTTTATTTTTTTTTTCCCAGACTGTGATTAACCAGGGCTATGAGTCGTTTTGTTCATGAGTCATTCTGGAACCTTGTTCGATTTACCATAGGATATCTGAAGTGAAATGGCTGGGGATTTTTCAGTAGTGATTTATGGGAAAAAAAAAAACCCAAACACAACAACAACTGACCGTTGAATCATCTCGCCAAGAAAATGCAACAAAGCCCAGGCGTCCCCAAATTTCACCAAAACAAAAATTGTGATTTTTCATAATGTTCCTGACAAAGGGTTTGTGAGGGTGGAGTTGGGAGGGAGGGGAGGGAGGGCATTCCATGACCTTTATTCAACGTATAGGCATTTTTGGCGAATTTTGTACAAATGCTCCGCAGGTGTTTCAAGCACAAGTACTGGTATGATTTATGCCTTCATAACCCCAAATCCAGCATCCAGATCTTTCCCATTCACGCATCATTTTTCCATGCAGGCATCCCAGGTTAATTTCCTTTCATTTTACTCCAGTCACAGAAAGCTGATCCATCTCTGTGGGTTTCTGGTACTTTGCTGATTCACGTACTCATACACTTGAGAAATATGTGGGTTTTGGTTTTTTTTCTGTGTCTTTACCCCTGCTGCTCAATATGTAACAGTCTCAGTCTTATAGGCTGAACCTTTCACATCCAGTTTGTTTGTTACAGAGTCTATTCCATTCAGTAGTTCAACAGAGAGTTAGTCTGAAGAGGGAGCACAGTTGCTGATCAAATATATAATACTTCTAATAAGTCTCCTTCTCTAGGATATATCCATGAAGGTACTTGTTGCTCTTCAGGAACGTTCTCTTTCAGTGCACAATGGCTGAATCATTTGTGGATATTAAAGGGACACTGTCAAGTACTCTTTAAATAGTTTTTAGAGTTTGGGCTTTTTTTACTCTCCATTGTTTGTAATATTCTCTTACAATCTTGGAAATAAAATTTCTTTCCCTACTGATATCGTTCTTTTCCATTTGGCATGTAGTGTTTTCTCTATTCACCTCATTGCTTTTACCATCCTTGTCCTTCTCCACCTTTCATCTGCAACAGGAAGAGATCCATGTTTCCAATTTCCTGCTCACTGTCCTCGCTCCATGGAGTGTATCTCCCAGCTCTCTGAGGCTAAGCTCTTTTGCTGATGCAGCTGCCACAAAGCAAGCATCAGAGTAGAAAGCCTAAAAACAGAGAGATTGGCTCACTGAGGAGCAGCAGCTCAGGAGTCCAAAAACAATGAGCCTGCAGTGATCAAGCCTGAACTCAGCCCTCCCAAAAATTGCTGTGACTTCAGCCAAATCATGCCCATTCTGCAGATGTGCTGAGAAGCAGTGTGCAGTGGCTGTATCCGACTGCCTGCTGTCATTGCACCAACACCTCCCACAGCTTCTAATGGAGCTGTGGCAAATGCAAGCCACAAGCCCCCTCAGCAGCAAGGCTGTTATAGGTTGAATGTTTCTGCACTGGGGGACGTGTCAAATTTAGCCCCCATGTTTGAACTACCAGCCATTCTGTAATGCTAGAGATGGAGGATAGAGTCTTAAGGCAGGGTCATGTTTTTCATCCAGATTACTTGACAGTGTCCCTTTGAATATCAGAAGGCAACAGAACAGGTACTGCTCTAGCAGAGAATCTGGGAGGTGAAACACCAGCCAAGAAAGCTGACATGATGAAGACAGACATGAACAGCATGCTTTCTGAGGCCACTGTACCTATATCTGACCAATCTTATTATCCACCAAAGAGTGCTTTTGGCTGAGGTGAGGGAAAGGACATTAGTGGGAAGAAGGAGAGGAACAGGTGATTCTCATCATCTCTAAAAGCAGCTACACCAGAATAACAGTATTGCAGTGAACAGACTCTGAAAGAAGTACTTCTGACCCACAGTAGAGATGAACTTGGTTAAAAAAAAAGCAAACTCAGCAGCCTCACCCCCACGCTCGTCTTGGAAGCTGCTCATTCCAAGAGATGGGTAATGGTGATGGTTTTGGGGAGGGGAAGGCGTATGCCAATGAACAGAAGGCTATCAGACAACATGTTGTTTCCCCCCCGTCCTCCCCTTATTTAAAATGGAGAATTCCAATTCCTTTAATTTGGCAAAAGGCTAAAAACTTACCAGGTCAGAAGCACAATTTGCCGTGCGAGAGTGGTGTGACAGCGATCCGAGCACACAGGACTCTGCGTTACTCTCACTCCAGCTCTGCCACCGACTCTGTAGCCTTGGGCTGTTTGGCTCAGTCCCCCATCCACACAGAGGGGGAATAACAATACGTACCTACCTCACAGGGGTGTTGTGAGAATCCACGTTGGTAAAGCCTGCTGAAGTGCCACAGGGAGTCGCGAGGTGTGTGGTGGGGGTGAGCAGCGCTGCCTGTTTGCTGGTTACAGTCCGAAGTGCTCAGCAGGAGAACCACAGGCCCTCTCCTGCTTGGAGATCCGCCTCAATCTGAAGCAGAGGGTGTCCTCTGAGTGCCCTCTCCTCCATTGCATGACATTTTAAACAGCTGTGAGGTGCAGGGTAGTGACCGACATGAAGTCCTACTTGACCAGGGATTTGCTACAACCTTTTCTATATCTGTGGGGTTTGTTGGTTTGGTTTTTCCATATATTGTGCTTAGAAATAAACTTTCCACTTAGGGCTGGCGGTTCGGGGTCTCTTCTGTTGCATGGCAATGTATACAAGTCTTATTGTCTGTCTTACTGTGCAAATGATCCCGCAGCCCAATTTCAAAGATGGGTATGGTCTGAGCCTTTTCCTAGTGGCATAAGACTCAAAAGCCTGTCTAGATTGTTTAATATTTAAACACCACTATGAACTTGTCAATTGTATGTGTTCTGTGCAATACAAAGCATGTCATTACCCGGCTTGATGGGCAAAAGGAAGGTCAAAACTTGTTCAAAGAGCTTCATACACATGCCAGCTTGGAGCCAAAGGGCTGCCACCAGCAAAGCAAACTCGGTGAAGCCATTGGAAATTATTTTCAGAACAGCTTATTCCAAAACAAGGTAATTCCGAGTTTATGAACTTCGAGGCTGCCGGCCCGAGAGAACAAGTGCATATTTAGTGGCATATTTAGTGTGGGGCTTGGGGTTTGGGATTTTCTCTTTTCTTTCCTCCCCAAAGTATTGATGGCAGAAATACTGATGAGGGTCTCTTCCTTTCATAGCACAGTTCTCTCGACTCCCACAACCTTCTCGTGCCATCCTGTTTATGCTACTATGCAGGATTTTAAAATGTGCAAATAGAGATAGTACACTCCTGAGACATGCAAAACGCATTGTGTACTGGAGCCAGACCTATGTTACAGAAGGCTTCTCTTTTTTCCGTGCATCTTTTCTCCAGTTGTCTGCTGGGTTCCTAAAGAAACGTTATCTGTATTTTCTTACAGAGCAACCACATCAGCTCCATCAACAAAGTTTGCTGAATTTGGCAGCTGTTTCTCCCACTGGAGAAAAATTCCAGGTCTTATCACTGTGGACACCCCCCAGTTCTTGGGCTTTGTGGTCCTCCAGTGCTGTCTGGTGGTGGTGAAGGTGGGGGACTGTGTTCACACATCATCAAAAACTATGTGTGTGGTCCTGCTCATTCTTGTGATTTCTGCTAGTTCCCCGATTTTAATCAGTTTTGACAGGTTTTTCTGGTAATGCTTTTCTGATTTTATGGTTTTCAAAGGTGCTTTGCTCTGTGTCAGTTGTCACTGCTATTCTCGCCTACTACATTAACGCTGGCCTCTTGCTTCCACAGCTCTTCCGTTTGTGCCATTCACTTTCTTGCTAAACATCCACTGCCAAATTCAGATTCTTATCATCTGTGCCTGTAATGGCTCAAACACATGGACCAAGGTGATCAGAAAACATTAAGACTATACCAATAGTCAGATTCTGTCAAAGCCAGCTGGTCCTCTTCAATGTATACTTGCCAATCTCAGAGCCTGCTGTTAACTGGTTGCCACAGAAGACTATAATACTATCAAAACTCTTATGCTCAGTTAACACTTGGTTTCTGATTTCAAATGTCAGAAATAATGAGATGTTTCCTGAGTAAATCAGATGTGCTCCCTGATGTTGTTTCCCAAGCAAGGTGCTGAAGAAGTTCACATCCTACCTTACCTTGACGGGTGACCCAAGGAAAGAGCAAGTCAGCTACAGAGATTTGAGTCCCTGGACGCTGGCATTTTTAGTTGGGGAGACAGGTAAATACTGCTCATGTCTGCCAATTCCATAACAGCACTCAAAGCCCTTGCATCTGGCAGCAGTAAAACATCTGAGCCAAGACCTGTAGATGATGGACAATTCTGAAAACCTTCCAGTTTGGAAGACCATCCCCTGCCCAAATCCAGTGGCCAGTCATTCGAACTGCTTCTCTTTGTTTTCCTCTAAAGAAAAATGTTTACTCTGATTAAACATCAGCTACTCATTGGTGTGGGAGCAACCATCTTCCAACCTGTGGCTTGTCTACCAGGACTCCT